GAAACAGTGTTCCTTGTATGTTTATTTTCCCACGCGTCCATTTCAAAGATCACTTCCTAAACGGGGGACCAGCTGGATGTATCGGTGCAGCATATCTTCAGGTTGGATGACCGAATATAATTTTCTAAAATTCATGGAACATTTTGTGAAGACAGTCAAATGTTCTAAGGATCATCCTATTGTTCTTCTTCATGATAACCATGAGTCACATATCAGCTTAGATTGTATCAATTTTTGTGTGGAAAATGGTATAAGTCTTCTTTCGTTCCCGCCTCACTGTTCACACAGATTACAGCCCCTAGATATAAGTATATACGGGCCTTTCAAAAAGTATTATAAAGCAGCAGCTGACGGTTGGCTAAAGAACAATCCTGGAAAAACTATGTGCACTTATGACATACCAACCTTAGTAAATCAAAGCCTTACACGAGCGCTTACTCCAGAAAATATCAAGAAAGGTTTTCACGTTTCCGGCATATATCCTTTTGACCATCACATTTTTTCAGATGATGGTTTTCTACCCAGCGACGTAACAGATCGCCCCTTGCCAAATGAAGTATTAACAGAAAACTTGGAGACATCATCTACTAGTGAAGACGTACTAATGAATAGTCCTCCTACCAACAGGAAAACATCAGACCCGCTGAGGACTCCAGAGATGATAAGACCTTTCAGGAAGGCATCCTCACGAAAGACCAAAATAACCAGGAAAAAACGATATTCGGCTATTTTGACCTCTACACCCGAAAAAAAAGCAACTCTAGCTTGAAAAAGACGACAGAGATAAAAAGAAAACGAAAGAGAGTGGTCACGGAAAAGGCGCTAGCGCTGGTAATAAAGGCAAGAAAAAAAGCGAAAAATCGGATGGAAGAAACTGAGTGTCTTCTATGTGGAGACCTGTTTAGTAATTCTGTATCCAGAGAAGAATGGGCGCAATGTACAGTCTGTTATAAGTGGGCTCATTATGAATGCAGGTGAAACTCGTGGTTCATATTGTTACGTCTTCGGTTGTTAATTAATTTTCCGTAAATTCGTTCCGACGAAACTTTAGCGACACAAGTCCTTTCTTAAATAAAACTGGTTTATTCTTTCCGAATATAACTTTACCGATACACTCAACTTCAACAATCGCGCTAAACAAACGCTATAACAACGAACGTCAATAATACTTCTGACTGCAGTTCAATTACTCACTATCTACTCACACGCATCACCTTAATCTCGCGTCACGTTGTCA